CTTTCAACAAAATGGCTGTCTTCTAAAACTATATTCTACAATTTACACCTTCAATAAATCCTAAGATCATGACCCAGAAGCCTGTGACCAATACTAAGGCTCTTAGATGTGACACGGGTTTGAATTATAAGTTGTGTGAAAGCCACAACTGCAGTTTGTGGAAGAATGGGAGCGATGAGCTTCTAAAGTTAGCTTGTGTCGTCCTGGTCTAAGAGTTTTTATGTTTTGAGCTCACAGGAGCTTAATCTGGTTAGTGCTGAGTAGAAAGGGGGAGGAAATGGGGTCAATAGCTCCTGAACGCATCCTAGTGGTCTCGGGGTCAACAGCCCTTCCTGATCCCTAACGCTCAGTGGGCCTCCATGGCCGGCTCCCAACATTTAATCAAGTCTTATCTGTTGTTAAAATGTTGTTGGAGAAGAGCTGAATGATGGCTACTATGGAAAATAAAATATTTTAAGGAAAGTATTTGAACAGGGAGGGAAATAAGGGAAGGGAGGGCTTGTGTTTGCCTTATATAGATGATAGCCTGTAATTAAATTGTTAGTCTTCCTTCTTGATAATTTCTAGGGCCTGTGGTGATTTGCCATTTAATATAATCTATTTATTTTGAGATGATCTTTGCTAAAGTGATAACTTGGAATACATACTTTTTGCTTTAGGCCAGCTTCTTCAGGTGGTCAGAGCAGCCAATGGTGCCCAGTATATATTTCAGCCTCAGCAGTCAGTGGTTCTGCAACAACAAGTTATACCACAAATGCAGCCTGGTGGGGTACAAGCTCCTGTTATACAACAGGTAAGAGAATCTTATTTATGATTGCTATAGGGTTCTTTTTTCTTCTTTTTCCTATATGGATTCCCTGGGTGGTTCCCCTCCCCATATCTATACACACAAAAATTCTTTTTTTCTCCTCTGTGCTGGAGTCTCATTCTGTTGCTCAGGCTGGAGTGCAGTGTCACAGTGACAGCTCACCACAGCCTCGACTTCCTAGGCTCAGCCTCCCGAATCGCTGGGAATTCTGTAGAAACAAAGTCTCGCTATGTTGCCTAGGCCGCTCTCAGACTCCCGGGGCAATCCCACTGGCTTGACCTCTCAAAGTTCTGGGATTACAAGTGTCAGTCACCACACTGGCCTATACAAATTCTTAGCCCCTTCTCCAGTACCACAGACCCTGTCTTTCTAAATTTTTCCTGTATACCTCACAGCTTGACTTAGATTCAGCCTGTTTAAAACTGAATGTTGTCTCTGCCTGTTCTTCATCATCCTCTCCAAGTGCTTTTCTGTCCGTGAGGCCCCCCTCTTCATTCAGCCCTCTAGGCCGGTCATTTGGCCTTTATTCAACAAACACTTGTTGAGTATCAGAGTCTTCACAAGGGACTGAGGGCTTAGGCATGAACAAGGCAGACATGACTCCAGTTTCATGGTACTTACATATTTTCTGGAGGGGGGGGTGTGAAATCCTTCCTTTCCCTACCTCCATTAGGCGCAAGATACCAAGTCCTACCAATTCTTAATAGTTTTGTTTGTTTTTTTAATTTTTGACTGCAGTTTTGCCATGTTTGCCGTCCCTAGCTTTCTTTCTGTTTCTCGTCATTTCCTTAGTTCATATTGTCATATTTTGTCACTAAAAATAGTGTTATCAAGCCGGGCTCGGTGGCTCAGCCTGTATCCCGCGCCTTTGGGAGGCTGAGGTGAGTGGATTGCCTGAGCCCAGGGGTTCAAGACCCGCCTGGGCAGCGAGACCTCATCTCTACAGTAGATCAAAAAATCAGCCGGGCGTGGTAGCGCATGCCTGTCATTCCGGCTACTCGGAAGGCTGAGGCGGAAGGATCGCTGGAGCCCAGCAGGTCGAGGCTGCGGTGGCCGGGAGTGGCCACTGCACTCCAGTCTGGGCAACAGAGTGAGACTCCAACTCAAAAAAAAAAAAAATAGTATTATCCTCTTAACTGATTTCCCTACCCCTCATCTTGTGTCCTCCTCCTAACCTGACTGATTGATAGTCGTCTTTCTAAAAACCTTAAAATATTTTAATGACCTCCCATTGCCTTTTGGAAAAAGTCTAAATTCAACATGGTTTATATGATCTCTTTTGGGTTGTTGTTTCTTTGAACTCTCCAAGTTCATTTCTTGTGTTCCCAGTTAATTTGTTTTACCTGCTGTTTAGATCAAAGTTAAAAAAAAAAAACAACATTTGTTCCTACCTGTGTGCTGGGTGTTTATACTCTTGTACTAAGAACAACGATGAAAGAGAAATGGTTATTTTCTTGAGGAATGTAGGCAATTTTAAAAAAAGAGACAGACACATGAACATATAATGTCAGTAGAATAATATGATGATAGAGGCAAGGTCAGAGCAGGAATATTAATCCAGCCCACTTGCATCTTTCCAGAATTACTGAATTCCTGCAGTCACTTTTGGATTTCACTTGATGTTATTCTCATTAGAATGCTGCCTTTGAGCGTGCACAGTGGCTAATGCCTATAATCCCAGCACTTTGGGAGGCTGAGGTGAGAGGATTGCCCGAGCTCATGGGTTTGAGACCAGCCTGGGCAACTTGGCGAGACCTCACTTCTACAGCAAATCAAAAAATTAGCTGGGTGTGGTGGCTTATGCCTGTAGTTCCAGCTATTTGGAAGGCTGAGGCGGAAGGATCGCCGGAGCCCAGCAGGTTGAGGCTGCGGTGGCTGTGAGCATGCCACTGCCCTCCAGCCTAGGCAATAGAGTGAGAGACTCCAACTCAAAAAAAAAAAGAAAAGAAAAAGAATGCTGCTGCCTTTGGCCCTCCATCTGGCTACTCCCTCCACTTCCTCAAACAAACTAAACGGAAAAGTCTGACTAATTTCCTTAAAGCACCAATAGAAACCTACTAGAAAGGCTTCCCTGATCACGCCTTGTCCCCTAAGCTTAATTTGTTACTGTTTCTTGTGTTCTCATAACACCATATATACTTGTATTTCATTTTCTATCTTTACAAGTTATTATTGCTTTGTTGTACCAATAATCTGTCAAAATACTGTCTTATTTTTGCGTTTCTTGAACTTAATAGCAAGTAAAAGACATTCAGTGCTCTTTATTTGTTACTAATGATAATTATTCATATGATAATGATAATTATTCATATGTTAATTTTTTTTTAAATCTGCATTTTTTTGAGTTGTGATTTACTTTAGAATCCTAGATGCAGAACCTGGAAGGAACTTTAGAAATTATCTGATCTGGCCGGGCTTGGTGGCTCAGCCTATAATCCCAGCACTTTGGGAGGCCAGGGCAAGTAGATTGCCTGAGCCTGCAGGTTTGAGACCATCCTGGGCAACTTGGCGAGACCTTGTCTCTACAATAAATAAAAAAAAAAAAATAGCCAGGTGTGGTAGTGCGTGCCTGTAGTTCCGGCTACTTGGAAGGATGAGGTGGAAGGATCACCAGAGCCCAGCAGGTCGACACTGGGGTGGCCGTGAGTGTGCCACTACGCTCCAGCCTGGGTGACAGAGTGAGACTCCAACTCAAAAAAAAAAGAAATTATCTGATCTGATGATTTTCACTGTGGTTGTGTGATAGAATCTTAGTTAGCTTTTATCTCTAATTAAATGAGAATATTAGGGGTATGGCCGAGAAATCCATACTTTAAGCTACTGGGTGGTTCTGATTTGCAGCCTGGTTTGAGAACCATTGATCCTAGTCTAACAGTGAAATGACAGAAGTGAAGAGAGGTTTAATGACTTGCCTCTGCGATATATACATCTAATCTTAGACAAAACTAGACCTAGGTCTTCAGATTGTCAATCCAGTGTTCTTCATGTGGAGGTACTATAGTAGCATAGGAACATGAACTCTGGACCACAAAACCTGGCTTCAGATTTTGCCTCCTAATTGACTATAGACTTTGCAAGTTACTAAGCCTCTCTGTGCCTCAAGCAAACAAACTAATAATTTGTCTAACTCTTGGCCTGTTAACTTGCATATCCATAGTAAATTAAGCCATTATCTTCAGGAAATCTTTTTCCTTCAGACATTTGAATGGTAAAATAGAAATTAGTGGGTCAATACACTAGTTGAATATTCCTTATGTACTTTTAACTGTGTATGAGTTATGGCCATTTCTGGTGATTCTTCAGCATGTGGACCTGTTTTTATGTACCATATTGGATCCTCGTTAACCAGTTCCTAATAGGTTGTTTTATTTTGCCTTAGGTACTGGCTCCTCTCCCTGGAGGGATTTCACCACAGACAGGTGTCATCATCCAGCCTCAGCAGATCTTATTTACAGGAAATAAGACTCAAGTTATACCTACAACAGTGGCAGCACCTACACCAGCCCAAGCACAGATTACTGCAACTGGTCAACAGCAGCCACAGGCCCAGCCTGCTCAGACACAAGCTCCGTTGGTGTTACAAGTTGATGGAACTGGGGATACATCGTCTGAGGAAGATGAAGATGAGGAGGAAGACTATGATGATGATGAAGAGGAAGACAAAGAGAAAGATGGAGCCGAAGATGGGCAGGTGGAAGAAGTAAGTTTCTAGTAAAAGACTTGAAATGATCATTCATTCAGTCATTTCTGTTTTACGTGGTACCAAACTGAGATATTATGTCCTGTTTTTTCAGATTCTGTTAGGACTGTACAGTATAGGATTTTAAAGATAAAGTTAGATTGTTCTAACTTCAGTAAGGTTTTTGGATTGTTCTGCCTATATTTATCTTAATAAAATATAACTTTCATATAGCCAATAATCAAAAATGAATGTATGCCAAATTAAATTGTATTAATAAAGGTAGTAGAGACAGTACAAGTAATTCTCTTTGGCTTATGCATTTCTAATGTGGCTTAAACATAAGACATTAGCCGGGCTTGGTGGCTCAGCCTGTCATCCCGCGCTTTGGGAGGTTGAGGTGCGTGGATTGCCTGAGCCCGCGGGTTCTAGACCCGCCTGGGCAACTTGGCAAGACCTCATCTCTACAATAAACCAAAAACTAGCCGGGCATGGTAGCGCACACCTGTAGTTCCAGCTACTTGGAAGGCTGAGGCTGGAGGATCGCCGGAGCCCAGCAGGTCAAGGCTGCGGTGACCAGGAGTGGCCACTGTACTCCAGTCTGGGCGACAGAGTGAGACTCCAACTCAAAAAAAAAAAAAAAAATAGAAAAGATACTTGGTATTATTCATTAGAGAGATTCAAGGCAAAACCACAAGATCCCATTTCACACCAACTAGAATGGCTGTAATAAAAACAGAAAGAAAATAAATGCTAGCAAGGATTGGGAAATTAGAGCTCTTGTGCATTACTGGTGGGAATGTAAAATGGTGCAATTGCTGTGGAGAACAGTTTGATGGCTTCTCAAAAAGTTAAGCATGGGATTAACCATGTAACCCAGCAGTTTCACTCTTAGATATTACAAAAGAGAAGTGGAAAAATGTATTTTAAAAAACTTGTACATGAATGTTCATGGCAGCCCTATTCATGGTATCCAAATGTGTTCATTAAATGATGAATGGACAAGTAAAATATGACATTTACACTGTGGAATACTATTTAGCCGTAAAAACTAATGCAGTATGCCACAACTTATATGAACCTTGAAAACATGCTAAGTGAGAAGACAGCCACAAAAGGCCACCTATTGTATGATTCCATTTATATGAACAATCCAGAATAGGCAAATCAGTAGAGATAGAAAGTAGATTAGTGGTTGCTGGGGGTGGGGGGAATGGTAGTAACTATTTTGCACCACACTCTAACCAACTGAGCCAACTGGCCAACCTGGGAGTGACTATTTAATGGGTAAAGGTGATGAAATGTTCTGGAACTAGTTGGTAGAAATACTGTGAATGTTCCTAATGTACCTGAATTGTGTATACGCTCAAATGCTAAAATGGTGAACTTTATATGAATTTAGCTTTAGTATATTTTTCATGTAATAAAAATGGTGACGTGTATTCTCAATTAAATAATATACACACACACCTGTGGGCAAATAGGTATAGACCTAGATATAATATCATCTTCATTATTTTCCTGTCTACTTTTATTTTGTCTTTCTTCATTTGTTAGAAATCTGAGTTAATAGCCAAGTGCGGTGGCTTAAGCCTGTAATCCCAACACTTTGGGAGGCTGAGATGAGAGGATTGCCAGAACTCAGGGATTCGAGACCAGCCTGAGCAACATGGCAAGACCTCATCTCTACAATAAATCAAAAAATTAGCCAGGCATGGTTGCACATCCCTGTAGTTCCAGCTTGGAAGGCTGAGGCGGAAGGATCACCTGAGCCCAGTAGCTTGAGGCTGTAATGGCTGTGAGAATGCCACTGCACTCCAGCCTGGGCGACAGAGTAAGACTCCAACTCAAAAAAAGAGAGAAAGAAATCTGAGTTAAATCATTTTAATTCTGCCACGATTGAGGTAAAGTTTAACATGGCTGGTTATTTTATGCTCTAGTTACATTTTATTATAGCCCTTAATTCTCTTTGACACTGAGATTTCTTTTGTTGTTTTTTTTTTTTTTTTGAGTTGGAGTCTCACTCTGACACCCAGACTGGAGTGCAGTGGCCACTCCCAGCCACCGCAGCCTTGACCTGCTGGGCTCCGGCAATCCTTCTGCCTCAGTCTTCCAAGTAGCTGGAACTACAGGCACGCGCTACCACGCCCAGCTAATTTTTTGATTTATTGTAAAAATGAGGTCTCGCCAAGTTGCCCAGGCAGGTCTCAAACCCGCGGGCTCAAGCAATCTACTCACCTCAGTCTCCCAAAGCGTGGGATTACAGGCTGAGCCACCGAGCCTGGCAACACTGAGATTTCGTAGCACTTGCCTTAAAGTCCGAATCTCAGTTATGCTCCATGCCTCCTCCATAACAATCATTTTGGTAAACCTACTGATTTGTATTCAGAGTCCTAGTTCGTTGTTTTTCTTTTTTAAGATGGGTACAGTTTAGGGTTACAGTAAGGTACAATTCAGGATTACAATTCAGTTATAAAGGTGGTCATCATACAAGTAAATTTGGGCCTCCCTGTGGTCCCCATTTCACCTGGTTTGAGATTAGGTACCCTCATTGATGTGTTATGTGTGTCCTCCTGACAGTTTTCAGCTGCTGCCAATCCCTTTATTCTTATATTATGATAAATGTTCAGGGTCTGCTTATGAGTGAGAACATGTGGTACTCAGTTCTTTGTTTCTGTGATAAATCAGTGACAAGTCCCAGTTCTTAATGTAAAGACACAAGCCAGACTGCTAGCCTATTGCATTGACCTTCTTTTCTTTTCTAATTTCACCACGATTTTCTCTTTTACATTGTTTCTGGTACGTAGTGCCACTAGCTCATTAAACCTTCATATTTTCTTAGGTCCCTTTTAGGCATCATTATTGTTGAGAATTATCTTGTGCTAGTTTTAAAGAATAATGGAAATAAAGTTGAACATCTGTTTAGTACAAGTTATGTAGCTTAACTATTTTAATTATAGTTTATTTCTTGCTGAAATTAACTGTAACATTGACAAACTCTTAAATAACAGCTGATTAATAATATTGCATTTGTGGTATGTATATGTATGCATTTGACACTTGGTTCTCAAAGAATTTCAAGGTTGTATTTCTTTTCAGTGAATATTAGGAAATCCTTTTTATGGTAATAACTAAACAAATAAACTCTCTTATTTGTAGGAGCCCCTGAATAGTGAAGATGATGTGAGTGATGAGGAAGGACAGGAACTCTTTGACACAGAAAACGTTGTTGTTTGCCAATATGATAAGGTAAAGACTTCATCTGCAGATTATTGATGCTATATCTGTTGTAATTTTGTCCTTAAATCATCCTTTTTGCCTTATTGAAACATTTGGGCAGCTGATGAATGCCTCTTTATTAATTATGAACAGTGTGGGCTGGGTATGGTAACTCAAACCTATAATCCCAGCACTTTGGGAGGCCAAGGCGAGAGGATTGCCAGAGCCCACAGGTTCAAGACCAGCCTGGGCAACATGGTGAGACCTCATCTCTGTAATAAATCAAAAAATTAGCTGAGCATGGTAGCACGAGCCTATAGTTCCAGCTGCTTGGAAGGCTGAGGAGGAAGGATCACCAGCACCCACCAGGTCGAGGCTGCGGTGGCTGGGAGTATGCCACTGCACGCCAGCTTGAGCAACAGAGTGAGACTCCAACTTAAAAAACAAAACAAAACTGTGTGAAAACATTGTTATAGTTTTATAGATTATTTAATAGAAAGACTGATTTCTTTACATTTGAAAAAGAATTTCAGTTATAAATGAAAGTAAAATAAGTTTTGGGGTTTTTTTTTCAGTCTAGATTGTCTCTCAACTTCTAAGCAAAGTAAGCAAAGCTACTTTGGGATTGTCCTTTAATAATAATAGCTAACTCAGTGGGATAATTCTGTTTTCCGTTTAGCCTCAACTATCTCAATACTAGCAGGGTTTAATTTGAATTTCTATAACTTTCTTTTTTTATTACTAAGGAGAAGACTAAGGCAATAAACAGGACTAAATCAAACAGATCAGTTTTTACTGAAAACTGTTTAAAATATTTTTTAATTTTGCTATATTTGGTAACATTAAAGAATTTTTAAACTGAATTATGTGAGCATTAGCCCTCGTCTACTTGTGTTCTTAATTATGAAACAGGATACTTCGTTCCAGGTATGATTGATGTTGTTGAGATTTTTTGTTACCAAGATAGTTAAATTGGAATAAATTTTTTTTACTGCAATCATTAAATTTATAATGCATGTACATATTAGCATTGCATTTATAATTTTAGTAGAGGTCTTTACCAGATGCTGAAAACTCTTAACAGAAGCAATTGGGTTTTGTGTGTAACTCTTCATTCAATTTATTCATTCAACATGCATTTATTGAGTGCCTAAATATACCAGTCACTATTTTAGGCACTGGATCTGTGGTCATGAACAGGCAAAATTCATGCCATGCATTAAGTTTCCTTTACAGATGAAGAAAATCTTAAATCTGCATTGCTTTTATTAAAATGAATGTGATGAGTAGCTGTGCTTATTGTAAACAGATCTATTGGGAGGGCTAATGCTTTACTAAACTCTGGTCTGTCCACGTAGCTCTTTGAGCTATGGTTGCCATGTTTTCCTAGCTTTGGCCCCCTTCTCTCTGCCTTGGGGAGCTCTTCTCTCTTTCTCTCTAATTTCTAAAAAACTGTATTTTCCAATCTAACAACAACAGAAGATCTATAGGGAGAATGTTAGGACAGTGGACCTTATTTTCTAATAACCCGGCAGAGAGCCAGACCAGTATTATACCAGAGAAGTTACAGAATAAAATCATCGAAGGTCATTGATTAAGAGTTTAACAGCATCCACTTTTGCGTGTTATGACTTCTGGGTGAGTGTTCTTATAATCCTGTACCATGCTCATTATCACAAGTGTAATTTCCTGTTATATACGTGTGGAGCAAGAATATGAGTTTAAAACAACAGATACCAATAAATCTTTATTGTCAGAAAGCCTGAAGGGAACCACTTACAGCCAATTTATCCAGAATACAGTTTCATGATAATGAAATGTCTTTATCAGGCAAGATAAGACTTCTATTTTAACCTGACTAAAGAATATGCTTCTAAGTATTTTCCTATTTGAAGGGAATAGTTGTATTTTCTTTTGCCACAAACTGTACACATATTTTAAATGTTTAAAATTGGTCTATTTTTGCTCCTAGAGGCATCACTTAAATGTAATGTTTTAAACTGATAAGTTAAGAACAGCTTTAGGCTGGGCACAGTGGCTCACGCCTATAATTCCAGCACTTTGGGAGGCCGAGGTGAGGGGATTGCCTTAGCCCACCTGTTTGAAACCAACCTGGGCAACTTGGTGGTACCTCATCTCTACAGTAAAAAAATAAATAAATAAATTAGCCAGGTAGTGGCACATGCCTTTAGTTCCAGCTACTTGGAAGGCTGAAGCGGAAGGATCTCCTGAACCGAGCAGGTCAAGGCTGCTGTGGCCATGAGCATGCCACCGCACTCCAGCCTAGGCAAGAGTGAGACTCCAACTCAAAAAAATATATAGCTTTAGTATATTGCAGAAGTCTAATTTCAAGAATGAGATGAGACTGGGATCGGTGGCTCAGCTGTAATCTCAACACTTTGGGAGGCCAAGATAAGTGGATTGCCTGAGCCTGCTTGGGCAACTTGGCGAGACCTCGTCTCTACAGTAAATAAAAAAATTAGCCAGGTGTGATAGCGCACACCTGTAGTTCTGGCTGCTTGGAAGACTGATACAGAAGGATTGCTGGAACCCAGTGGGTTGATGTTGGGGTGGCTGTGAGTGAGACTCCAATTAAAAAAAAAAAAAAAAGAATGAGATGAATTGCTCTGAAGATTGGAAAGGTGGGGACTTGATGCTTTTAGCAAACAGTAAAAAGCAGTAGTGTTCCATGACTGGTCCAAATGGGACTGGATATTGGCTGAGTGTGGTAGCTCACACCTGTAATACCAGCATTTTGAGTCGCCAAGGTGGGAGGATTACTTGAGCCCAGGAGTTGGAGACCAGCCTAGGCAACATAGTAAGATCTCCTCTCTACAACAAATTTTTAAAAAAATTAGCTGGGCATGATAGGGGGCACTCCTGTAGTCCCAGCTACTCAGTGGGCCGAGGTGAAAGGATCCCTTGAGCCCAGGAGGTTGAGGCTGCCATGAGCCGTGATCATGCCGCTGGAATCCAGCCTGGGCAACAGAATGAGCCTTTGACTCAAAAAAATAAAATAAAATAGAAATAAAATGGGATTGGATATTATTTAAGCCAACTTGAATTTTAAGAGTGTAGTTTTGAAGCCTAAACTTTAGAATTTCAACAATGAATCAATTTTAGAAGGGATTCTAGAAGGACTATTAAAGTTTGTATTGCCAATCAAATCAGAATCTTAGTTAAATACTAATAATATTGCAGAGTTCCCACTTAAATGTAAGTGGATAAGGACTGATAGCACTTTGTGAAATTTGCCTCAGATGTAGGTAATTTTACTTTTAATATTTTTTTCACTAGGAAATTAAGAGGGCTTCTGGCTTTCGGGACGGCCCTTCATGAAGGGCTTAGGGCCAGTACATAAATTACTTTTTAAGTTGTGACTTTTTACTTCTATTCAAATAAAAATATTCACCATTTATCACCCAGTATCACTTCAGTATTTTCTGGGCTACTGTTTGACCCATGAGATTTTTCTGTATTTGTTTTTTGCAAATTGCCCTATGACAGAATGTAATCAGTTTCTTGTCTTTGGAATTCCTACTTCCTGACTATTCAACACTTTCTTGTTTTTCTTTATATAGTCCCATTGCCTTTCAGGTATAGTCACTTGGTTTATGATGGAAATAAATTTGTACACACATTTTTAGAATAAATAATACTTTCTCTAAGGAATCAAAGAAAAGGGTGTCAGAGGTCTTTTCCTTTAATTAGTACTTTTGAGTGTCTGATTTCCCATGGCACTGTTCAAGGAGTTTGAGGTATGCTAGTGATCAAAACAGAACAGTCCCTGCCACTGGGAAGCTTACTCCAGTGGGAGTGGATAGATGCTAAAACATAATAAACTAATTCACGTGGTATATTAGAAGCTGATAATGGGCATGGAAAAATACAGGGCAGGGGAAGGGGATGGGTTTTACTTTTAAATAGGGTAGTCATAGTAGGTCTTTGGAGAAAATGACATTTGAGCAGACTTAGAGAGTGTTAGCTCTGTTATTGTCTGGTGGCAGAGCCTTCCTGTTGTGAGTGAGGAACAGCAAGGAGGCCAGTGTGTCTGAACTGGTGTGCTGGTGGGGAGGGATGGGAAGCAAGTACTGTAGTAGATGAAGTCAGAGAGATAAGGGAGTGGAGACAGTGTGGATCTTTGTAAGGACATGGAATTTTATTCTGAGTGAATCAGGTAGTTACTAAAAAGCTCCGAATAAGCCGAGCTCAGTGGCTCAGCCTGTGATCTGTGCTTTGGGAGGCTGAGGTGAGTGGATTTCCTGAGCCTGTGGCTTCAAGACCCGCCTGGGCAATTTGGCGAGACCTCATCTCTGCAATAATTCAAAAAATTAGCTGGGCATGGTAGCGTGTGCCTGTAGTTCCAGCTACTTGGAAGACTGGGTGAAAGGATCGCTGGAGCCCAGCAGGTTGAGGCTGCGGTGACTGGGAGCAGCCACTGTACTCCTGTCTGGGCGACAGAGTGAGACTCCAACTCCAAAAAAAAAAAAAGATCCAAATACACAAGTGGCATGATCTGATTTAAATATAAATTTTGAAAGAATTAATTTTTCTTCTTTGTGGAGAGCAGAATGTGGGGAGGAAGCAAGGACTGACAAGGAGACTAGGGGGATGTTGTAATCCAAGTGGGAGATGCTGATGACCCAGACTATGGTGACAGTCTAAAGTTGGTGGGAAGTAGCTAGATTTTGGATTTGTATTGAAGGAAGAGTCAACAGGATTTCCTGGTTCTTGGATGTATGATAAAAAGAAAAAGAGTAATCAAGAATGACTCCCAAGATTTTTTGACAAGGCTCCTGAGAAAAGGATGGTTGATGCCATCAGTTCAGTGGGAAAGGCTTTGTGTGTGGAGCAGGTTTGGGAGAGGTCAGTACAGTTTTGGACACATTAAGTCTGGTCTTTATTTTGTTAGACATTCAAGTCATCTATTTTAAGATACTAGATTTACCACCTACATGGTATATTTAGACTAGAACTGTAAGACCATTTAATCTAAGAGTCTCTGCCCTGGCTGCTGTTTTAACTTCATCGTACTTTGTTTTATATTGTATTAATAAAAAAAAAACCCCAGAATTTATTTATTAAAAAATGTGAATTTACTCTTACATGTTTAAACCCAGTTACTTTCAAAGTACTCTGTTTGAGAGAGTACTACACCTATTAAGCAGTACACCTATTAAGATGCTTTTTCCATGACTCAAAACAGTTTTTGAACTCATCAATTTTGATGGCTTCTAGTGCTTCTGCCATTTTTTGTTTCACCTCTTCCATACTGACAAAATGTTTCCCTTTGAGGACTTTTACCATTAGGGAAACCAAACCAAAAAAAAAAAAAAGTCGCTTGTGGTGAGATAGGTGAATAGGGAGGGTGGGACATGGAAGTCGTGCCTTTTTTTTTTTTGAGTTTGAGTTTGAGTCTCACTCTGTTGCCCAGACTGGAGTGCAGTGGCCGCTCCCGGCCACTGCAGCCTCTACCTGCTGGGCTCCGGCAATCCTTCCTCCTCAGCCTTCCAACAGCCGGAATTACAGGTATGCGCTACCACGCCCGGCTGATTTTTTGATTGATTGTAGAGATGAGGTCTCGCTGCCCAGGCGGGTCTCGAACCCGCAGGCTCAGGCAATCCACTCACCTCAGCCTCCCAAAGGTGGGGGATTACAGGCTGAGCCACCGAACCCAGCTAGTCGTGCCGTTTTTTGGTCAAAAACTGCTGAACACTCAGCACAGTGTGAGCAGGTGCACTCCTTAAATCATCCATCACGGTTGGGCATAGTGGCTCATACGTATAATCCCAGCACTTTGGGAGGCCAAGGTGAGAGGATTGTCTGAGCCCACAGGTTCAAGACTAGTCTGGGCAACTTGGTGAGACCTCATCTCTACAATAAATCAAAAAATTAGCTGATCATGGTGGCATGATCAGCTACTTGGAAGGCTAAGGCAAAAGGATCATCTGATCCCGGCCAGTTGATCTGTGAGCGTGCCAGTGCACGCTAGCCTGGGCAACAGAGTGAGACTCCAACTCAAAAAAAAAAAAAAAAAATCACTCATCATGAAATGGGCAAACAAGTTGAGAGAATTTTTCCCCCCAAATTTACCGAAGCCAAATGCAGCCTCTCACTGATGCTGATGGATCCCTAGAACACTTACCTAGCTGGGAAAGCCTGTGCTACAAGGGACCCACCCTCCAAAAAATAATTCTGGTGTCTTTTGGGTCCCTCTTCGTTAAGTAAGAAAGGTTTGAATCTAGAGAAAGAGCATGAGAGTCGTTTTCAAATACATGAAGAGTTGTTTGATTGTTTTTAAGTCTCCAAAAGCAGAACTAAGATCAACAAGTGGAAGTTGGAGGAAGCAGGTTTCAGAAAGGGGTCAAGTATTGAAAGACTTTTTATAAGAGTTGTCCCAGAAAGGAATAACTTAATTTGAAGTTATTTTCCCCCCCTCTTCTAATCGTATTCAAGCAAATACTGAACAAAGATGAATACGTCAAGAATATACCATAAAGAATGTTTGCTCTGGGAGGTTAGACCATGGCATTTTAGGAATGAAATCTCAGACAGTATCTGTTCCTGTGAGCATTTCTGCATTATAACAGACTAACTTAGTGAAAAGTTTGAGACCAAGACTTGAGAATCATCTTTGTCACTTAATAGCAGTATATCCTTGGCCAAATTCTTGAACCTATCCAAGCTATCATTTCCTCCTTTGAAAATGAAAGCCTGAACTAGTTGATTTTTTTGAGGTGCCTATAGATCATAGAATAAGGAGAACCATGGGCCTTCTTTCAGAAGCTGTGGAATTTGAACATATTGTAAATAATGAGTGTGAGTTCTGGCCGGGTGTGGTGGCTCACACCTGTGATCCCAGCACTCTGGGAGGCCAAGGTGTAGAGGATTGACTGAGCCCGTGGGTTCGAGACCAGCCTGGGCAACTTGGCGAGACCTCATCTCTACAATAAATAAATTTAAAAAAAAAAGAAAGAAAGAATAAAAAGTTATTTACTACAAAAAAATAATAATTATGGGTAGTGTGAATTAGTTTTCCCTTAACTTCATAGACTTGCAAACAACTAAAGACTATAAGGGATGGCAAAGATTAGAGTGCCCAGAACCTGCCCTTTCTTTTTTGGTTTAACTGTTAATGTCCATAGTTTTCAAAGTCTGTTTTATGTGACTGGATGATCATCATTCCTTTAGCTGTATATATATATATTCTTTTTTTTTTTTTTGAATTGGAGTCTCACTCTGTCACCCAGACTGGAGTGCAGTGGCCGCTCCTGGCCACCGCAGCCTCGACTTGG